TTTCATAATCTTCTCTTCATTAGCATTACAAATATTTCAGATCTTTTAAACTATAACTTTTTACATTATAATTTAACGTTCAGATGTTTCGCATTCGGTTCRATTCATAGYAAAGTGCAAAAAATTTCATAGTTTTACGCGATCACCAATTTCTCGTGCTATTGTCCGATTGCGTCGTCCGGTTTTCAACTAGGTCCCACATCGCTGGGATTGATGATCACACATCACTTTTTGGAGAATGGGTAGTATCATGTGTATAGTGATATATACATATATAGATAAATAGATCTTAACCTCCCTACTATCTCCTTGTGATACACATTGACAAAGACCTTAAGGTCGTTTCAATGAACAAATACAGAGAGACAAAAAAGATGTTTTACATGTTTGGATGATGGTTTTTTTAATTTTAAATATGGAATATTGATAGTTATGAATTCTTGAGTTATTAAACAACGAATATGTTAATAAATATTAATAGAAATGAATGTAACTAAAACTAGTTKCAAAGAATGTATCACTAAAAATATTTGAAATTCTGATTTTCTATACATACATGCTTACATCTAACATTTAATAATAATCGTTATGAATTATTTTAAAATTAAGTTGGCTTTATTTTAATTTCAGCAATAATAAAACAACACCTCAAAATGTGGCAAAAATGAACACATTGAAAAAAGTATGTTATCTATTTAAAAGTTTAAAATTTGTTTATTCTTGTTCAAATTATTGTATTAACTATTTAAATGGTTGTTTTTATAGAATGTAGAAGCTCCAGYTTTTAGAACCAGAAGGAGTGGGCTACGTGGTTGTAAATATAATTCCACGAACAAGTAAGATGCWATTTTTAAGTTAATTTTTGGTTCAATATTTTATTATTCTCAAATAAGGGTATTGTTACCACTTAGTGGCTCCTCCCGTAAAAAAACCATGTATTTATTTTTTTGTATCACATATTCTTATTATGCCTAAAGAAACAGATTGTAGACATATACAAAATAGAAAAATTTTCTAGCTTTGGTGGTTCATGTTTTCATATTATGAAAATTTGTATTTATTATATTATTATAATATCATGTTTTTTATATAGGACAACCWGTTACACTCGGTCACGTTCAACAACAGATCAGCCGCTTGAGGAGGACAAGTGAGATTAATTTTTATATTATTTTTAATTATAAATCATATTATTACCCTTTAATAGGACGTCRTACTCACTTGTCTCAAAGTGTTATTCATGCTTAAGATAAAATTTATGTACCACAAATTTACCATAGTTCATTTATAGTTAAAAGCTTAATAGTTAATATTTTATCAAAT